TGCTTGGATATAGAGGCTTTTCAGGACCATTTTCAGTTCGAGACGTCGGGCTGCGGCTACCATACCTTCAAACTTCCTTTCCCATCCAAACATTTTGATCACTTGAATACCAGACACTAATTCATCCATAAATCGAACACGTTCATCTGTTCGCAGAGCAGTTTCTAATCGAATTTTTATCAACAAATTTCCAGCATAGCCTGCGAATAAGAATAGTAAATTCATTTTAACGTAACTAATGCAATTTATCAGAAATATCAACAAAATGTTGTGTGTGAATATTTACTTTGCATGAGTGTAAATGTGAGAAAGGTAGCAATTCCAATGATGGCAGCCCAACCAATTTCATTCCATAAAATATATGTTGCTACAACTGATGCTGCCGGTAAAACGCACAATTCATTTTGGGATATAGCTTCAAATCGTCGAACATCATTTGAGAGCAAATTCACCAATTTTGCAGAAGATGTTTTGCTCAAAGCACTCTGTGACAAACGCAGTGTCTGTGACAATTGATCAAAGAGAGGTGAAATGGTTAAAATTGAACTCCTTTCATTTTTCCTCTTCAACATTTTTACCTTTCGATAAATAACACTACTAAGGGCAATGCAAACTTTCATACCATTGTAAAATTTATAAAATATATATTGGAATGATATGATTCCAGTGCAAATGTTAAGAGTGAAAAGCCCAACTCCATAATTTCTTGCTTCATGAAATGATACTTCAGAATTGTCCCTGTGGATTATCAAATATGAAATAATAATAATTCACAGTTCAATATGAATAACTATTTTCTTGTAATACTCACCGAAAATATGACAAGAGTCCCTTTAATAAAAATGGATATATTGAGCGGCACACGCAATATTGAAAAAAACACAAAACCAACATTATTAGTAGCTCGTACCAGAATGTTTTACACAATGATCTTAGTAACGACGGAGATGATTGTAGTTTCAGTTCAGACTTCCAATTTCTGAAATTGTTATAATCTTTTTTTCATTTGGCTCAATTTTAAATAAATAAAAGTTATACCTTTCCAGTCGATCACCAAGTCTATCCGATTGATCTTCCTCGAGCGGTTCAAACACATCATTTGGATGTAATGCATCACGCTGATAACTCTGCTTAAAAATCGGTATTGTCCATCCAAGAAATAAAACTGACATCCAACTCGCTGATTCACGTGGATTTTTTAATAACTTCCTATAGGCAGACTCCATTTGTTTCTGTCACCTTATTTAAGATAAGATTGTAATTGAGATTTGCAAAAAAAAAAATTGAAAAATGTGATTTAAAATTGGCAAGGAAATATTAGTTATGGAATAAACACGATAGAATGCATGAAGGGTTGAGAAGAATTTAAGCACCACGATTACTCTTATTTCTGTAGAAAATTTTAAAAACTTTCACTTCAATCTTTTATGATTGAAAATTATTGAAAAATTACTGAATTACTCAAATTCACTCACATGATCCAATGAGCAACTCACACAGTTATTTGGCACTATATTCAAATCAAACATCTAAATAAGACTAATCGCAAAAATGTCTTATCAACACGCTAAAAATTGCCTAATCTTATCGTGTTGGTAACAGTTCAAGTGATAAATTTCGCAAAAAAATATACGTGTGCACAAGATGTGGTTTTCGTACATGCCGAATTAACACTGAATTTGATTACTTTGAAGAGTTTTGTGTTTTTGACTAAAAAATATACGAGGTCTCTGTTTTCTTTAAGTAATTATTTATTTATTAAGAAAATAAAATTCTTAACATAAGAAGGTTAAGTGTTGAAGAAGGTTAGTAGTTATTCAATAAAAAAAAAATAAGGAGGTTAAAAAGAGAGTGGTCCACATCTGAATGGAAGGAGTACTGTTGATATAAGAAAAAGTGACGCATTCGAAAAGTTATTAGGTGTTTAATGAAAAATTAGTTTTTGAGTGTTGTTTGCCGGTATAAAAACCAGTTTCAAGATATTTCTTTAATTTTCCTTGCACCATTCGTTCTCTTGCTGGACCTTCTTTTCTTCTTCCGGGCTCAATTCGCTTTCGATCCCAAAAATTTGCCTAATTTCTTCGGGTGATTTGCCTTTCATCATATTTGCAACCGTTTTGCTGGAGACATACAACAGTTCTTTGATTTGCAAGTAATTAGCAGCCATAATCAATTCGAACAATTGATCTGCAATGAAAAATAAAATAAAAATTAGAAAATGCGGTGCAGTGCGGTGAACTGATCAGTGAAACTATTTTCGAAGAATAGAACAACATTTTTTTATAATGAAAGTAATTAAGCTTTTACCTTGATCAATTTTGAGAAAATTGGCATCCCATTCTGGGATTGGAATGTCACTTTTTTCTTTGTTTCCTGCAATTTGAATCGGTTCGTCTAGGTGATGTTTGGCCCACTCCAAAACCAGACGCAAAATGTTTGAGCTCACCCTTGATAATGGTATAATGGTTTCACTATTTTCATCGCCATCAATAACACAACCTTCCAACATGTTTTTTATGGTTTTTGAAGTCATGGCCACCTCAATATCCGTTTCGAAAATTTCACCTTCTGATGATATCAATTTAATACTCGACATCTAGAAATTATGAAAAAAAAGAAACAAAAAAATGGTTGTTAGAACTATTGGTCTGAGAATTATGCATAATGTCCGAAAAAAGTTTACTCTTTACTTAAAACAAAAATGTACTTTCTTCGATTTATTTACTCAAAAAAATTATACTTACGTTCAACGTTCCTTTTGATTTGAAAAAGAAAACAAACTGAATTTAGCACTTGTTGTTATTTTGATAAAATCGAGACGACTGATGATATACTGACTCTCATACCTCTCTTTATACCCCCGTTTGTCACTAGGCCATTAACTCTGACAGCTCATAATGCTAATGAGTTTTAGTCTAGCTGACAACCTAAAGCCTTAATTACGCTAAAGTTCGTTTCATTCTGACAGTTCATCTCATGATCATTTTTTATGAAAAATTTGAAAATAAAACAATCGACAGAAAGGAATTAACTTGAATACTTCACTGCAACATTGGTCAAAGATTTC